AAAAAAAAAAAAAAAAAAAAAAAAAACCAAGGAGAAGAGAGGATGGCACATTGGGGGTGATGTTCAAAGTTCTTGGCAAAGTCCCTTTCCAGCCCAGGGTGGGAGGAGGGGATGAGAATCCCAATGGTGAATGCTAACAATTGCTGACACTTGTGGAGTGGCTACACCCATGCAGGTGACAAATACTTTTTATGGCATTTACTCCTATGGACAGCACCACAGAGGGCCGCTGCTACTATCTCCATTTTACAAATGAGCCCACTGAGGTCAGAGGTGGGGCTGGGTTTGAGCCAGATCTTGGATTCAGAGCCTGAGCTTTTCATCGAAAGCTCCCGTGACTGTAAAATAGGCCTCCTCTGCGATCTCAGGCCATTTCAGAAAGTGATTTGGGACCAGGCAGAGAAGAGGGATGCTACTGTCTCCTTGGTCCTGTGGGGAGGGGTATAGAAAGGGAAGCCCACTTGACCTTCTCCCAGAGGAGGGGACCTGAGTCTTCCCAGATTCTAGGGGCTGGGGCAGGAGGCTGGGAAGGGGTGTGGCTGCGCCATGTTCTAGGCTCCCCTGGCCTTGGGCCCTGGGCATGATGCTTCCCAAGAGTCAGAAGACTGTACCCTAATCCCCATTATATTCTTCTCTGGAGAAGGGTGGGAGGAGATGAGGAAAGCCTGCATCCCCAGGAGAGGAAATAGGAGATGTGAAAACGGATTTTAAAGGCAGAAGGAGATGTTACTCTGATGGCTTGGTTCCTGGCTGTGTTCCGTCCAGGACACAAAGAGGGTCCCAGGACTCAGCAAGGCCCAGCACACGAACCAGAGAAAGTGGATCCAGTGGCTGGATTGAGCAGCATCCCTGATGAAGTCTTTTGAGACAGAGTGGGTGGAGGTGGGCCCATGCTGTGCCCTCTCCCAGTGGGGCTCGTCAACCCCCCTCCCCAGCAGTGAGGGATGTGGCAACCAGGGACAGATGGCAGTCCCCAGAGAGAGAAATGGGAAGAGAGTAGAAAGCTCTACTTCATTGAAGAGATAGGGGTCAGGCTGGGAGCAAATCTCACCAAGAACGAAACTTCCCTCCCTGGCATCTCTCTCACTGGAGGCCTTGCCAGAAAGGGCAAATGGTTGTGTGCTAGGGCCGGGGGTGGCAGAGCTGTTTCATCCTGGGTGACCTCACACTGTCCCAACTGTGAAATGCAGGTAGTGCCACTGCCCACCCCCAAGCATCCTCCGGGACACCTCCAGGGACATCCAGTGGGCCTCGCCCAGCACAGAGGTGGCCCTTTCTTGCCCACTTCTCTCCCCATTCACTGTCCACAAAACTTTTCAGGAATCTGTTACTGTTATTATGAGGATATTGAGACCCAGAAAAGGGAAGAGATTTTTCTTACTGTTATTCTTGACCCTAAATCAGGAGCTTTAAGAAGTGAATCGGGTTGGGTGATAAGTGTGGGGAGTAGTGGGTGGTGTTTTTTTGCCTTGGGGGATTTGATAACAAAGCAAGGAGACTGGATGACACTTGACTTAGATGATGCTGGTTGCTGGGCTGGTCCTGGATCTACAGTCTTTAAACAAAAAAAGCCTTCAATTAGCTCTAGTGAGTTACTGCAAGCTGTCCCTTGAAGCAGTGCTCCGAGACC